AGCATCAAAAGAAAATATAAACAAAAGAAAGTAACTCTTTGACGATGAATCGCGAGAACTTTGCTCAACTTCTCTAAAGGAGCAACTTTTTTTTTCCTCTCAGTATTTTGCTTCGCAATTTAGTGCATAGATTGAATCTACGAAAAATGATTCAATATAAAAAAATGTTTAATATTCAGGAAGAGAATACATTTGAGATTATATAACTTCATTAAGACAACAATATCGATGGAGAAGGAAACTCATATCGACTGAGGAGAACAACGGAGCCTCATGGCGACGAAGATCGACATAGGACACAATAGGGCTGGTGTTAAGTGGCGAAGTGGTGGTTTCAGATTCATTGAGAGCGGGAGTTAGGCTTTCCTAGCGAGTAAATTGACGCGGATTAGTCTTCATTGACAACGAAGAGAAAAACCCAGATATGATGATTGCTGAAGATGGTGTGGGTCAGCTCTTCTTCTTCTTCTCTAGTTTTTGAGGTCTGCATATTGTCCCCCTCTTTCCGCCGACGTTGAAATACCCCACGGACCGGCCCCACTTTCTCTGCCGTTACAGACGGCAAACTTGGCCAGAAAATTTAGTTTTCAAACGATACTCGTTTCATCTTTATGAATAACAAATATTTTAATTAATATAATAATCATTGAAGGTACCCCTTCTATTGCTAATTTTTTTACTTTTTATCAGCTAAACTATAATAGGTGCCCTAACTTCTACCGCCCAAACATTGAAAAATAACTTTTTTTCCTGACCGTCCAAATAGCAATCCAACGGCTATGTTTACTGTGCTGACTGGACAGGTATTTTTGAGGTGCCAGATAGGAGACCATTCCTATATATATATATATAATGTCTTCAGAGTCGTATACCAGGCAAATATAACCTTTTTTCGTCTGTGTAATATCGTTTCTGCTTTTATGGAACTCTCATTTTATCTAATTGTAACCTTCAATATAATCTACTACCATATTACATATAACTAACTTTAATATTACCATGTTATAATGAAAAATTATAACTTCATGAAAAATGTTATTACGACCGCGAGATTTAAAACCTGCCTCTATATGTGTGTGTGTGTGTGTGTGTGTAAAATCAACAACTAGCATACAAACTATTAATTGTACCCTCGTGCTATAATGAGGATGGTTTCTATAACAGAGAATTAATGTACTAGTGGATGGATACATAATATATGGAGCTAAAAATTTGGGCCACTCAGCCCGCCTGGCCTGGGCCCGGCGGCCCAAAAGAGTAGTTAGGGTCGGCCTGGCCTGACCCTAAATAACTTTTTATAAGCCCAGCCCGGTCCTAAGGCCCGATGGGTCTAGGGCAGGGCCGAATTATTGTGGGCTGGCCTATCCTGAATCGGCTCGGCCCGACTCGAGCATGATTTATAAAAATTTGAAAAAAGATAACTAAATTTATAATAAATAGTTAATATTGTAAAATTTTAATGGAATAAGACTTTATTTATGTAATTATAACTGCCTCATTAAAAACCTTACCAAGAAAAAACCCATTGGGATAAAACCTTGGTAAGAAAAAAAGAGTGCAGTATTATTTTCACAGTTACAATTTATATATACTTAAAAAATAAAAATATCTAACTGCCTGCTACACTACTCCCGGCATCAGAAGCGTCATCATCAATGTATAAGTTTTGAAATTGATCCATTAAATCTCTGTCTTCAGCTGTATGTTGCATTCGCAAAGAAGCATTTTCCCAACCTTTTAGACATATTAGCACCTCAACCATTTATGGAGTCAACGAAGTCCTTCTTTCTTCAATTATCCTCCCAACTGTGCTAAAGGCAGATTCTGAAGACATCGTTAATACTAGAATAGTCGAGATATCATGTGCTAATATTGAAAGTTCTGGAAATCTTACACCTTGTAGCCTCCACCATGCCAAAATTTAGAAATTATCATCATTATCAGCACCATCTATCACCGAGAATTTTGTCTCAAGGTATCTGTTGAGCTCCTTATATTGTGTCGTCGTTGGTGTTGATGGTGGTGGCATGACACTCGCAGTTGATGACGAACTAGAGCCACCACGATTAGAAGATATAAAATTCCAAAACTTCTTTTTTGAGTGGGCCAGCTGATCTTGTTGCGTTTGTTGAGTTGTCAAGTTACCGAACTTGTTCTAGTAAATTGCATAAATCTCAAACAACTTCTCATGTGTGTTAACAACCTGTGAAGTATAATCTATGTCCAACTAGCCACCGATATGAGAAAGAACATTTCCAAGTCCGGATAATCTTACTCTAGGATCCAAAACAATAGCTAAACAATACAACAGAGGAATTTCAGACCAATATTTCCTAAACTTTGCTTCTAATTTTTCTACCATCAGTTTAAATAACATATCATTTCCATACGTTTCAAATAAGTCTGTAATCCGAACCATTCAGGTTTAATTGAAGTTGAGTTTGTGTAGGCTCTGTCCTGGCTTGACGAAGTCTAGTGCATTTAACTTGGTGATCTCTCAAGTATCGAGTTCCACTTGTAGAATTTGCGGTCAAAACTTTTTTACAATAAATACATGTAGTTAATTTTATTTTCTTACCTCCAGCATCAATTTTCTCTTGTGTAGTGAAGTATTTCCAACATTCTGCACGTTGTCTCACATGTTTTGTTGTCGTTGATGATGTTGAACCACTTAAACCCGTCGGCATTTTTTAGGGTTGATTCGGTTGAATATTGATATTTTGTAGCATGTCACCTACTTGGTCACCCGCCTCCATTCGTTGAATTGTTGCTTCTTCAGTATCTTGATCACTCATTCCATAGTAGTCACCACCATCACAACCATACCTATACATATTTGGTTCCATTTTCTATTTCCTACAATAATAATAACAACAATAAACATATTAATACATGCTAACACTAATAATTAAATATTCACAATATAAAAAAATTAAAACATTTATAATTCTAAAATTTATCAATACCTTGATTACTTGATATGGATAATGGAATTGTAACTTGAAAATTAAAGTAGAGACTAGAGTAGAGATTAGAGAATCACCAACTTTTTTTTCGAACAAAAATGAAATAACAAAATTGAGAGAATTAATGTGAGTGAGAATTGAGAGTTGAGAAAAAATTGGAGAATAAGAAGAGAATAGAGAGAGTGAAAGTTGTGTTGTGTGAGAAAAATGGGTTAATGGAAGGGGTATTTATAGATAAAATTTAGGAATTTTGGGGAGAAAAGAAATAGCAAAGGGCTGTAGCCCTCTGCTTCAGACTCACTGTCACTGCCGTGAGACAGTGAGTCAACCCAACAATAATATTACTGTTGGGCCAAAAACAAATAAACAACCGAGAAAAAAAAAATTTAGGCTTGGTCTTTGGGCTGCAGGCTGGAGCCAGCCCAACAGTGTGGCTGCAGGCTTGCAGAAGCCAATAGCAGACTAACGGTCTGCTGCTCCTTAACCATTCAGGCCCGGCCTGGCCCGAGCCATTCAGGCCGGGCCATTTCAGGCTATTTTCATACCGGGCTATTCGGGCTCTCCGGGCCGGGCTCGGGCCTAGAATTACCGTCCAGCCCGACCCTACAGTAGGGCCGGGCCGGGCTTGGACTTGTACGAATTTGAGCCGGGCCGGTCCCCGGGCCCACAATAACAAGCTTCGGGCCGGCCCGTCTAGCCCGGCCCAAATTTTCAGCACTAATAATATATAAACAAATTATATGTTTTACTAGCGGACAACGTATATATAAAGCTAGCTAGTTGCTTGCTGAAAGCAACTGTAGTTTTATTCTATATACACTTGAAGCGTATTAACATTTGTATAGTGTACACCCAGCTCATAAATAGCTGTTTTATGTTTTCAGTACTCTGCATCTGAGGTGGCCACTTTCCGTGTAATGATAGCAGATCTTTACCATCGACCTTGCAATTCATTTTGGATTCTTATGCTTTTCATATATATATTTTGCCTAGTTTTTTTTATCTATATATGCAATTCCACGTCACATACAGATTGTCCAATTACTTTGAGAATCTGGGTTATTTTTTATCTTTATTTTTGTTAAAGTACTTCTATTCAAAACGTATTACCATATTCAATCTTCAGTTAATTGCGAGTAACATTAATTAAGAGGCAGATATTTTAGAAACATGTTTAATTAATACGTTTTATTAGTCACGAACTTAATTTTTTTTTAATTTGACAAGTCATGAGTATATTTGTCAGAACACAGACTTTGTCACTATTTTTTATTTTTTCCTAGAAACTTCGTTACTAATTGTAATACGTGGAGCAGGCTAGTGATTGTATTTTTCTGTTTTGAAATGCATTTCCCATTTTCAAAACAAAAAAAAAAAAAAAATCACGCCTAGGTTTGATGTGTAAGATATAACGAAAATATAAGCGGAATTCCATGAGGTATTATTATATCAGAAATATTAGAAAATAGGTTAATATAAAAAGTTTAAGAAAGTATATAAGTCAATTTTTAGTTATAAAAATTAATAGGTCATAACTTATTAAGTTATGGTTCATAACCAGATAAATTATGGATAAAATTGTCAAGTTATAGTCTATAGTCAGATAAGTTATGGATAAAAATCGTAAATAACTTGTCAAGTTATGGTTCATAACCAGATAAGTTATGGATAAAATTGTCAAGTTATAGTCTATAGCCAGATAAGTTATGGATAAAAATCGTAAATAACTTGTCAAGTTATGGTTCATAACCTGACAAGTTATGGACAAAAACTGTAATTTGGCTTATTTATTAACTTATGTAAACTATTAATCTATTAATTTTAATTCATCTCAAGTCTTAACCTATTTCCCTCTTTCTCCCTTATTATATTACCTTTCAGCTCTTTAATCTTAGAAAGTTCTGCGGCAAATTAATATTCTAACCCTTTGAAAAATCTTTGACACATGTTATAATTTAACCGCCTAATATCACCAGGGGACTTTATCCATATATATGAACCTTCGTATCTTTCTAATAGCTGAGAAGGAAAAGGGGGAAAAAAAGGTGTGGAGAATAGGCAACCTCATAAATAATAAAAGGGCAAATCAAGGGTAAAAATTTCTTCAACACCCACCAACCAACCCAATTTTGCCTCCTAATAAGAATATAAAAGTGAAAGCAAAGCAAAGAAAAAATAAATAAAAAATAAAAAATAAACGTGTCACATTTTTCTCTCTTCTTCCCAACACTTTCCTCTCGCCAATACGTATAACCCCACTGTAGCCTAACATTTGGCACATTTGTTTCTATTATTCCCAAAGCTGCAAAAAACAATCCAAATTGGGCACCATGGTTTTGGCTTCTCAAAACGAGCTTCCTCTTAACGAGAACGACTCACAAGACATGGTGATATACCACGTCCTCAACGAGGCCATGTCCCTCAACTCCCCCTTCTTGGCCGCAGCCCAGAGGATCCACCACCAATCGGGCCCGACCGGCCGGCCGCTCGAACCGGTTAGGACGATGGTGATGAAGAAGAAGCAGCAGCACTACAGAGGCGTGAGGCGTCGGCCTTGGGGCAAATACGCAGCGGAAATCCGGGACTCGGCACGGCAAGGCACGCGCGTCTGGCTCGGCACGTTCGAGACCGCCGAGGAGGCCGCCCTCGCCTACGACAGAGCCGCCTTCAGGATGCGCGGCTCCAAGGCTCTCCTCAATTTCCCCGCCGAAGTCGTCGCCGCCGCAACCGCCGCGAGTTATAGTACTAATAACAATCCCCTTAATGGAAGCAGAGTCGATAAAAACGCGACGAGAAATAGCGCTTCTGCCGGTTCCGCGCCCAGTGCTTGCGAGTCTAGTACTAGTAGTAGTACGATCAGTGTTGAGACCGTGTTGCCGGAGAGCGGTCGGAGCTGGGAGGAACAGGGTGGTGAAAGCGTTGTCAGGAATTAGTTATGTGTTTTGGATTTGTCTCCGAGACTATTAAAGAAAATACCTTGAAATCTTTTCTTTTTACTCTTGTGTGTGTACATATAAGTTATCTTAGCTTGTCAGTTTTGTGTTGAGCTTTATATTGTTAGAGATTGTCGTAGATCAGTTATGAAACAACTTATGTACCGGAAGAGAGTACATTATTATTGGTTTGTAATAAAAGGAGCCAGTAAGGCCAGAGAAATGCAAAATGGTGATTTTTCTTATTAATCGAACTTCAAGTATAGTTAATTTGCATTGTGCGTGTAATTAAGGAATTAATTGAACTGGTTTGTGTAATTAAGGAATTAATTGAACTGGTTTGTGTAATTAAGGAATTAATTGAACTGGTTTGTGTAATTAAGGAATTAATTGAACTGGTTTGTGTAATTAAGGAATTAATTGATCTGGTTTGTGTAATCTTTGGTAAGGGCTTCTCACGGCAGTTATGCTTTTCTGCTTAAACCTGTTTTTCAGGGCAGTCAGTTTGTGAAACTATGGCATGTTTACTTACAAGGGCGAGGAATGTGAGCGGGGAATAAGAGTTAAATCTGATTATATTTAACGGTGCTCAACAGTCATGCTCTTTAAATTCAGTGACCGTCTGACAGATGTGAAGATTTAAATTATGTAGTTAAGTTTTATACTTATTTTTTTATTGAAGTTTCTAACCGTCGAATCTTATTAAAATTACGTTAAATTAAAAAAATACATAATATAAACAGTTTTTCACATAAATAATAGTTGAAAATAAGAAATTATAAATAATGTATTCTTTTCTCTTCTATCAAGAAACTTCCTTTTATCCTATTCTTTTAGAATTTTAAGATGATGTGGCATAAATATATTGACTGTATTAAAAAAAATGTTTACAATTCATCTTAGTTGGTAATTAAGCCTAAAAGGAGGACTTCAATGCAGATTTTTGTAAGAGCTCGCCCTATAAATTTATTAATACATCTATATAAATTTATTAATACATCTATAAACTTTCTACAACTGTTATTCCAAATCTCTTTGTTGTCTAGCCATTATTCCAAATCTCTTTGTTGCCTAGCCATTATCTAATCATTTTCAGCCGTAAATATGAGGTTTTGTATAAATATGTTCCTTTGTCCTGGGCATTCATAGTTCATATCAGCAAATATAGAAACTAATGTTAATGACTTAAATCTTAATGCATAAGCGCCAACTTGTTTTAACAATATCTTTAGCATAATTAATCTTTAGAATTGAAGTAAACCATTTTAAATTATCATAGTGGCTATGGACTTGACTTGATGCAGTAAAATTGACAATTAAAGTTTTCTCTTAGATTAATGATCATCTTCTTGGTGGTTCCAACTTCAAACCAATGCCTAATGAAAGCAAGAAGTTTGCCCAAATTCATGATCTTGTACAACTTTTACTACTGAAAGTTCTAGAACGTTAGACTTATCAAGTGGTCAATGAGAATATTAAAAAGATACAGGTGAGTTTGAAGTTCCTTTTAAAATAAATTTAATTTTTTTATGAAAATCAAAATAAAAACGTTTTTAATTTTAGATATAAATTATTTTTAAAAATGTGTTTAATAATTTTATCAAGAGATTATTTTTTGTATAAAAAAATTTATTAATGTGTCTCTCTACTCAAAAACAAAAAATAAAAAATAACTAAAAATTATTTTTTTATTTCTCTCTTATTTTATATTAATTTAAAAAATTATTTTTATTTTTATTTTTTATTTTTAATTATTTCAAACGTCATTTTTCTTTTGTTTTTATTATAAAAACAAAAATAACTCCGCACAGCTATAACTTTCTTCTTTTTTGAATTCCAACGAATGGGTAGACTAGTTGACCGTTGAGTCTGATTACTCATGGATAGAATAGGCAGGTAAAATATCATAAACGTACGAAAGCCTTTTTAATATAAGAGTTTATTATAATGCTGTCACTTTGATTCCCTCTCATAACAGTCAATATTATAATCCTGTCCAAATTCCTCGAATTCAACTTAATTAGTAGAATAATTCAGGGCATGTTCTTTTGTCTATAAAACTAAAAAAAAAAATAACTCAAGTTTTAATTTTATTTAAGTTTACGTTCTTTTAAGTTTTAGAGTCCGTTCACTTCGCTGATTCGAGTTTGTAATTTGAGTTGAGATGTGATTTTATGTGAGAACTTTTTACTGTAACAAAAAAGTTAGATGTGATTGTTTATGAGAGCTTTTTACTGTAGCAAAACTCGAATTCTAAACTCGAATTGGTGAAGTGAACGGGCCCTTAATTTTATTCAATTTTACTCAACTTTATTCAAATTCTAACTTCAACTCAAGTTATAACTCAAATTCAACTCAAAAACTACACTCAAGTTACACTCCAAAAGAACAAACTTTTAATCCCATATTTTGAAATTAGGCCATGTTCATAACTCAAATTCAACTCAAAAACTACACTCAAGTTACACTCCAAAAAAACAAAGTTTTAATCCCATATTTTGAAATTAGGCCATGTTTACTTCGATGATTTGAGTTTAGAATTTGAGTTTTTTTACAGTAAAAAGCTCCCACAAACAATCACATTTAATTTTTTTATTACAATAAAAAACTCTCACATAAAGTCACATCTCAACTTGAATTATAAACTCGAATCAACAAAAAAAACGGGCCTTATAACCTAATCCCCCGTCCAAAACTAATTCCTATTTTTTTGGTGATATATATATTTTATTATTATAAAAAAAGATTCTTCTTTTTATTTATGTTAGTAGGTATAAAGCCTAGTTTTTTTTTTCAGAATGAAAAAGAATTAATGGTGCCTTCGTATCTTTACAGGTATCGTTTATTTCACCGATTTGAGTTTTCAGTTTTAGATTTTTACAGTAAAAAATTTTTAGAAAATGTCATTTAATTTTTTTTACTACAATAAAAAATTCTCAAAAAATATCACATTTCAACTCAAATATGCGAAATGAACGCCTAATCAGTGTCTTAAAAGAAATTTATTGAGACTAATGACAAGAGAACCTGATCTATCTATGCTTTCGTCTATCAACATCTAAAGAGTTCAGAGTCACGCTAAATCCAAGCCATATCCTGCAGTCCCGCTGAAAGACATAATTACAACTTTATTACGACCGAAGATAATCGATATCTCTGGATGACGGGAAAAAGAGTTTTGATAGGTCATTCTCTTGCTGTAATCGCGCTACCACCACCGATATTGGTGGGTATAAAGCGGTCTGGTATTGGGAGGTAGGAAAAATCATATTGGCTTCTGTGAATATTCTAGTAGTCTACATAGTCTCTCACATGACGTATAAGTGTGACGGCAGCATTACTCGTACATGGATAGGGAAGCTGTATGTGTTGATTTTTAGCCAATGGATGACCAACATTGGTCAAACCAAATTAAGTGGTGTCTAAGTACAAGAATTTCATTATTATTTTGTTGGCAAAACTTGAATCTTCTATTTTTGATACAGATCGAGATCTGGTTGGACAAATGGCGGAGCTACTTGGCGTCGAGAGAGTACCCTCTAATATATATATATATAT